TTCATACATCGAACAATACAATTTAATGAAGAATGTTAGAGCAATTTTTTTTTAATATGTCCCGGAGGCTTCGTGTAAAGGAAAAGGAATAGCTAAAATTTCAAATGATTAAACATACATTAATTTTTACTTTTCCGTATACGTACGTATATAAGGAGTAATATATGTAGTAAAGGCACAGTTATGTAATGTGGAAAATCGATTTCGAGAATTCAACGGAAATACGCGTTTCGGGGTCCCTAAATACTAAAAAAGGGCTTTTAAAAAAAGTCCGTTAGTCTGTCAGTCTTCCCATCCATCTGGGGTCTGTGAACACTACTAGTGCCTAAACCATGCGTTGGATTTTTTCCAAATTGAAGAAACCCCACTCCATCTGACGTGAGTCAAAATTTTGAGATTTTAAAATTGATTTTCTGTACAATTTTGAGGTACTGTACATGAAGCCCCCGGACATTTTCAAAATTTTCTAAAGAAAACGGCTACTTTTTTTTCTTTAAATTTCTTGTAACATTGGAGTAACGTACACTTATAAAAGTGGCATAATCCAATTTTCACAGTTAACTCTGAATTTTCGAAAACTTCAAAAGCATGATTTTTTTCGGTGCAACTACTACTTCAGAACTACTAAATTGTTGATAGAGACTTTCCCTTCAATTACAATGTGTTGTCCATAATTAATTCTTTTATGTAGGTCATGTACATTTCTTTGAAAATTTTGGTAGTTTTCGTGCAATATTGTGTTTTTTGCAATATTTGCGGTTTGAAAGAATTCCAAAAACAAGATTTTCTCAGAAACGGCTCCAAATTTGTTCTTGTCACGTTTCGTAGAGAATGTGCTAAATGCACTTAATAAGATGACATTAACTCTAAATTGCTCTATTCTTTTGACTTTTTCAAAAATTACAAAAATGTATTTTTTGACCTGTCTCTCATGTTGTTAATATTTACTCTTACGGCAATTTGTTCACATTATATTAAGGAGGACATGTGCTTTAGTGTCAGATAACGTTTCTTGAAAATTTAACTGTTTTCTGTGAAAACAAGCTCAAAATTTCTCATTTTAAGAAACACCCAAACGCTATTTTCTCAAACACCGACAATTCTTTCCTCAAACATTTCGAAAGGATAGTGCTAATTGCAAGTTCATTTTGATGTTTTTTCTTCAAAAATTATACAAATGTAAATCTTTTGAAAAATATCTCACGCCGTTGTTATGCACATTTCCAGCTATTTGCAGACGCTATTTCACTTGTGAGTTGAAGCACTTAAAATGACTTCAAATTATGTGTTTCTTAAATTCAAAAATATTTTGTGAAAAAGAGCATAAAATTGCGAATTTACTGTGGCGTTTAAGCGGCATTAAAAAACGCTCCCTATTAAGGTTCATGCACCATAAAAGATATAATGGGTTGAACTCTTGAATAATTTATTCTTTAATAATCTTAAAATAATATTTCCGCTACACAATTAGGAAACCGTAAAATTAAGAAAATGTCAAACTAGTGGTGTTGCCAAAGCACATACTTTCTCGCATTGTTTCCAAATGACCCGCAACATTGCACTACTGCATAACCAGCAAAAGTGTTGTCAAGCAGCTAATAATTTTCCGCTCCGAGACGCGAACTGAGATCCTCAGAGTTAACGTGCCGGCATACCACTACGCCACAGAAGTGCCGCATGGTTCGAACTCTAACAAGTGTATAAAAAGGTAAATAAACGATTTATATAAAAGAAACGTTCAACAATCAAAATATCCGTTAATACTCCCAAAGCCTCCAGTCCAGAAAGATCAATTAGGGTACATCAATTTTGAAGAAAATTAGCTGAACGATTTAGGAGTTAGTTTTAACTACAGAAGGACAATCGATATTTCGGTATCAAGAATGTATTCTGGTGAATATATTTCGGTATCAACATGTATTCTGGCTACGCCATGAGTTAAATGTGGCGGGAAAACTATTAAAATTTGCGGAAAAAATATGCGACCTTTTAAGAGAAAACTCATTATGGATAAACAAATTATATTTGAAAGCAAAAACTTCGAATTTATAACTGTTCAAAGACGCCGAAAAAATTTCAACATCTTGTAATGTTCGAAAATTTTGTTAACAATAAATATCGGGCAGCATCATGAGAGTATTTGAATTTTACTTTAAAGAAAAAAAATATAGCTTATTTTGAGAAAATTAATAAATTGTTGCAGGGGCTTTTATGTAAATTACCTGCAAAAATTAATGAATGTTTTTCAAACTCGCAGAGATTTGTGTGAGGCAAAATCGAACTGAGAGTATTAAATTTGGAAAATATCCTACGCAGGGTTCTCCAAACTACGGCCTGCGGGCCACATCCGGCCCTCCACGTATTCTATGTGTCCCGTAAATCCAAAGTATATTCTATGCAACCGTGACACAGGCTGAAATATTTTATTGTAAGTTGTAAGAATCTGGTTTCCTATTGTTACAAACTCCGATCCACATGCCAGCTATGTCGCGAGTGTCGTACCGCTGTGACTAGTGATGAACATTCGAGACATTTTAACCTGTGTTTAGTGATAAATTTCTGAGAGACAGAAAAGGTTAAATAAAAATTGGGTCACAAATTAACTTACTAACAGTCTAAAACACAATATCTTTTCTATCACTGAGGAACGTTTTAAAATCATTTATCATTTATGTGATTTAGAAAAGAAGTGTCTGTAATTAAATTTTGAAATTTTCAAATGTTCATCATGGTGAGTCAAAAAGAAATTGCTTTGCTTCTGTTGCTGTAGCGTGCTCACCTTCAACAGAACTTCTGTGTTACTGCTCACCTTCAAAAGTGTATTAATGTAGGTACATTGAGTTAAGTTATAGTATTGTCATCATAATGTATATATTTATTACCAGTTGTTTCACTTTTATTTAGTGTTACTTCATAAAAATATTTTCTTCTTTGTACTATTGTATTTTAAATTTTAGTTAATGAGAGGCACGTAATGAAGAGCCATGAAAAAAGTTTGAAACATTGTGCAACAGAGAAAATGCAAGTCAAACAGCTCAAGAATGTTGATTGTACAGTACTAACAATGTATTGAGTTGTGTTATAATAAATTGAAGATGTTTAATAACTTGAGTCCCTTAATCCAGTACATTTGATGCCTCTGTTTATTAACAAAAAGGACCAAGAATGTCAATATGAAATTTAGTAAGTAGTATGGGAACCTGTACAATTCTGTAGCACCACAAGTTTAAATTGTATTTATGAATAATAATGGAATAAAATAAAATAATACACATGATAAAATACTTTACTCGAGAAATACTTTCTCAAGTACTAAACTTAATACCTTTCTCTCGTATGTAAAGCACATACTTTTCATCTAGTATAATTAATTACTAATCTTTTTAATTTAAAAAGTGATATGATAGTGTATTCACTGAGGAAACCTGTTCTGCACTTGTAGCCCCTGTGCAGCAAAGCTCTAAGACATGGTGTGCATTAATTTCTCTCTATAAAAAACTAGTTTCTTTCTATAAAACCAGTTTGAAGTAATATGAAATTTTTAATCTATAGTTTAATTTTTTAATCTAAAACCTGTAGGCATAATGTGTAGCAGAATAAGAGCCTTTCTTAAAATTTATTATTGACTTTTAAATGGAATACTGTTAATTCTTCAATTTTAGTGGCAGACGTTGGAGTAGTTGTTATAAATAGTAAATACTTTGTAGGGCCTGAATTCAAGTCACTTCTTCAACAAATCACATACAAAAGAATTCAGAAACAAATGTTTTAGAAATGTGTATCAACATTGCAATCTCTTGGGGGTAAAATCCTTCTTTCCTTAGTGCCATCAATACAAGTTGCAAGATGTCAAACAGTAATTTTAGTGAAAACGTCCACTATCAATACCTAACACAGAATGATCATTGAAAACCAGAATGATTCCATCATGATTTTACATTATTCTAACATGTTATAAGGTAACTAATTGTCCCAAGAACCAATACTAAAACCCATATATGAACCAATTCACCCTATTTAGGCCTGAGTACCATAAAATATGTAACTAACAGGTTGAACTCTTGAATCATTCTTATTGCTCTTAATTTAATGCATGCTAATTTTACAAAAATCGAAATTATAATAAAATCATTAACTCTGAAATCAAAATGAATGAAATTATTTTTACGAATAAAAGAGTAAATTTACACAGATTTGTATGCATTTTGTTCAAACACGACATGACTTTTTAAATACATTTATTGGTTTCAAAAGAGCAACTCTCATCCCTTTAGATAAGACAGTTATTGAAGCAATGCAAGAAGATAGCCAAATTGATTTCTATTACCCCACTTCACACTTCAAAATTATGCATGCAAGAAATGATATGCAATCTCAAAAATACAGCTTTACTAATTCTTATGAAAAACTATCAGAATTAAATGAACAATGAATAAGAAAGTTATTTTGTGCAGTAACTGTGGTAAGTAAATAATCATTAATTTCACACTACAAAAAACTTGTAGTGAACATGCCATAATCACATCTCAATCTGACTGAACTGTAAATATGGAAAGTGCAAAATACTAGCTTACTACATTACTATACCTCAAAGGAAAAGAATCACTCACAATTGACTGCACAGTGCTTCATAATCATTTTAATTTACACATTACCTTTTACTTCAGTATTCCAATTGTACATTACAGATATTAAATTTAGGTACAGTACCATTGGAACCACATATAATTCATATATCTGAGGCATTGTGGGTCAATGATATAGTTGTTATGCTATATATAAAACTCTGACAAGTTGCAACTAGTGATCTTTGTGAGAGATTTCAAAATAATAAAAGAAAACATAAAAAGTACTCAAGAAAATATTTGACAGTTTTTTAATATTCAAAAAACTTTAAAAAAGACAGTTAAGAGTTAAAAAATAAAAAAGGAAATTAACTGATGATTTATGTGCTGTCCGGTTTTGAAGCACCCCTTGCAGTATTTTTACACACATAACTTTCAGTCTTCTTCTCCAGATTCCGATTCTTCTTCGGCATTTTGAAGCCATTCAACAAACTTTTTCATTTGATCCAGAAACATCATCTTGCCTTTCATTGAATGACTTTCCTTATACCACTTCAAGATAGCCGTTTCTGAAATAACATCAGTTTTGTAGAAAAGTAAAACAATTTTGTGGAAAACCTTCATAAAATTCATGTTATCATAGCAAAATTCTTGAATACGGAGCATAAGGACCAATTCAGATTGAGCAGTTGCAGTGAATGCAGCTAATAAAGGTGTGTATTGTTTTAAATGTTTTAGTGCTTGCTCAGCAACAAGTTCTTCTTTCTTATTCCATTCTACTTGTGACATAATAGTAGACCATATGAGCACAACCATTTCATGATCCTGAATCCCACTTTTTGATGCAGTGTCCCGAATATCTGCAACAATGTCTTTAATGGGCTGGCCTTCTGATAACTGTTCTTCTAACTGAGACTGCAAGTCTTTCTTCACTTCTTGGCTAGCTTGATCTTTGTGAAGTTTAACAATATCAGACAATCCTTTTTCTTCAAAGACGAGTCGGAAATGTTCTTCTGTACGCTTACTAGTAGGTACAAATTCCAAAAGCCTGGACTCAATCCCACCTTTCTTTAAGGCAGTTACCAACGTGGCAAGGCCTTTTTCATGTTTCCAAGTGACAAATACTTCCATCAAGAAATCTAATGCGAGGTTATCTTTCACAAGATGCTCATTTAAAAGGACCAAGAGGACATTAGGAGGCACCGAGCCATTTGAAATCCATAAAGCTGTCATTCGGGCCAATTTAAGGCGTTCTAATTCACTAAATCCCTTCATATAACTCAGCACTTTCTTCATTTCATCTTCAAACATTTTTTCCAGATATTTGTATCTGCGCATTAGTTTGACGAATACCTGTTCAAAATTGTGCATCGATTCCATGTCTTCCGGGGCTTCAAATATACAAACACTGGCTTTACATGTTTTCTCTCCGTCTTGGGCAATTGATCCGCCAGGCATTAGAAGACCGCCGGCAATCAGTATATCAAATAGCGCTTCTCCATATCGCCTGTAATCCAATTTAGAACCGGCAGCGTCCAAAAACTTGGACACTCCCTCGAGGTCACAACCTGCTTCGTTAAGCCCTTGAAAAACATTATCCCGAAACCCGACAGGGTCATATTTTTCTCTTTCATCTCTCTTTCTGGTCTTGATACGCTGACCGGACAACACTGGTTTTTCTACTTTCTGACTCATACAATGACTGAGGTTTTCCTACTTCGAACTATAACAACACTTCGTCGTAGAAACTGCAAATGCTCAACTTTTGTAGTCGGTGAATGTTAGCACTGTAATTCAATATGGCTTCCCAACAGCAACTTAATCGTTGATTCAACATTCCAAAACATGATTGCTAGTATCAGTGTTGCCAAATGTTAATTATGTAAAATTAGCTTCATACATAACTATCAGGAATTTTCATAAGCAAGGAGACGAACATTGCTACAATGTTGGTAAAAGATAATCCCTTCAAACTGTAAAGCAGCAGTACAGGGAAGGCCTAACATGAACACATAACATGAACTTATATTCATCTTAAGTTATTGAATTTCATTAAATACTAATGAAATAACATCATGTTATTACTATTACTACGTAATAGTACAAAATGGATTGACATTGTTATATATACTCAAAATGAACAGTAATATCGAAACGATTATGTGCTCATTTAAAGCAAGCTTGACGTCAAATGTTTTAAGAAAAAAATGCAGTTAGGCTACAGAATATACAATTTGACAAAGGAAAACGGTATATACATGTTTTGGCAACGCTGTGATACGCAATGTTTATCAATTATTGATCATTCCAACATTCCTTGGAAGCATGTTGTTATGTTCGTAGCGCCTTTTGAACAAGACGATCCAACGAACAAGTCGATAGATCAGAGAGTAAGGATGTGATAGATTGCCTGTAGTTTAAACACAATATAGGTATTTATGGTTTAAACAAGACCAACTAATAGACAGGTGTGTTCTCTCCTCACAAACTCCGAACCATGCATTGCACCATGGCGAAATTATAAGAGTACATCTCATGGTCACAACATGCTATGGCGAAGTGACATACTGGATACAGTGAGCGGTTCTATAATGCTCGTGGCATTATTCTTTTACCAATGACGCGTACAAAACACGACAACTGTAACTTACGTTTAGAATCGGAACACGTTATTAAGATTATAAGATTTTCTGTGTTTTTATATTTGTAACGGAACGGTTAAGTCACTGAACCGTCATTTACTAACTCAACCGCGAAAATACAAAATTCCGTGAGAGATGATACATTAGCTCGGTATGAGTAACGTGCAGTAACGCTAGGTGGCATAATACTTCATTACACACTTCACTACCAGAAGTTTCCCTTCCAATACCGTGACCAACCATGACATAGAACGAGTCAAATGGTATTGGGTCGTCGTAAGTAAGCAAGATCCAATGATAGCTCAAGAAAATACGCACGGCTAAATGCTCCTGCTCCATAGTTGGCTTCTTCTTGCAATAATTATTAAAAGTATTAGTTAATTAAGTTAATTTGAGTGTAAGCATAGGCGTACGCAACCGAAACAAGAGGGTTCAACTAACGTTGTGTGCCTTGTGTAACGTTGTGTAACGTTGTGTAACGTTGTTTTCCATTAAACTTTTTACGTGTGTAAAATAATATTTTACTATTAGACATAAATAAATAAAACGTAATGTTTGGAAAATTAAATTATATATTATTAAATGATTCAATAAATAAAGACAATTGATTTTAAGTTAAACCATTTATATGGTTGCCAGATAGCAAAGGGGCCTTCCATTAACTACGTAACGATGAATTTTGAGTATTTCGATTACCCTCTCCGGCCTGTAAAGCGCGCTTGACCCCCCCCCCCCGTAAATACTTAAATAACGCTTGTGACAACACACTTGCACTTCCATTTACAGTAAGTAAAAAATATATAACAGAAAAAAACCATTTGTATTAATTTTGTGAAATATATTAAAATTTATGATAATTTAAGTTAAACTCAGTTGGTGATGCTCACCGCACCTAACAATAAGACATTCGAGACAATTTTTGAATGAAGGAAGTAGGCGTAGGTGAGGGAATTTGCTAAGAAGCCATACACCCATTGCCATAGATGATGCATGGGTGAGCCAATTTAATTGAATTCTAGAAGACAATCAGTTTTGAAATTTTCTTTGCAATCTAACAGATTTAATCAATACGTCATTGATGAAAAAATATTTCCAATGGCTAATAATTTATAAATCATCATTTTATAAATTTATTAATATTCTTTAAAATTAATGCGTTAATCTCTCAATGTTTTTGTATGTAACTGAATAAAAATAATTATTTTGGCAAATGTTAAAAAATCTACTTTATGTAACATTAAGCTAATACCACAGACTAAGGCGGTAGTTCTCAGCCTAACAGTCCTCAAAGCCCCTCCCCTCCCCTCTTTGGTGTTACTTAATTTATGTACGTTCCCTTAGAAAGGTTTTTCTCTAATATCATATAACAATTTCCCAAATTATAAAATAAAACTATCTTACCTTATATGAATGAGATAAAAAATTGAATTTGCAAAATGAAATAAATAAAATAAATTTTAGTTAACATTTAGGGAATAAAATTAGATAATAAGCAACTTGAAACAAAGATGTTGATCTAGTTCATCAAATTTCCTCAACCCTCAGAACAATGAAATAGACAGTGTAATTAAATTACTTTACAAGTACCCACACAAAATTTAATATGCTGTACTAAAGACACTCTTTCAGTGATGAATAAAATAAAAATGTATTTTGAGGTGGTATATTTCATAATTATCAATTGTTGAGGAATAAAAACAACAAAATACCTTTTAAAAGCATTTCATATAATGGCAACTGATCATTGATACAATTTTGTATCAATACAATCTACATGTGACAACAAAATTTGCCTTCATTTCACATTGAAATATTCAAAAACAAAATTCACTTATTACACAGGACATTTAAAATAACATGAAAATACAAATGCTCTACATTTATTACAATAAACCTTTAATACTTTTCAATATATTGATAACATTCAGAACAATCACAAAATTTAAATATATTGTAACTGCTGGTGTGAAAGCATTAAAATTACCATAGCAAAATAATTCATATACATTTTTTAATAAATCCCACAAGCCATATGATATATGCATTAGTGTAGTTTGCAAAAATTCAGTACCTTCAGGCGAATTTGAATTAAAAAATAAAAACACACACAACCAGTTTGAATGAACTTGTAATTAACAAATGTTTTGAAATTATAATTATTGTTTTGCTGTTAATAAAAGTTGCACAAGTTGTGCACTAAAAGAAACCTTCAAGACCACCAAATGGTGTTTTACTTTCCTTTATTTCCACATAATGGGTAATACACTGGTTGTCTAGTAAAATAAAAAAGGAGCAAAAGATTGTTCAGAAATTATTTCAGTATTAGGTTTTCAATGTTCAGTATTATTCAGAAATTCGAAAACGATTTTCTGTGGTCACAGAATTATCTTTTATTGCAGGGAAAGTTCTCACAGACTGGTCGATCCCTGGGGAAGGGGGGGGGGCATGTTATTCCCCTCAAAACACAACCTTCCGTTATAGTTTCTGGCCTTCCTTTATTTGGCAAAATTGATTTAAATATTTATTTATGTAATTATTTAAAAAATAATATTGTATCATTTACACTACAAAAAGTATATACAATACAATAACAAATATGTTTATTATTTAACAAAAATCTATATTCCCTCCTTCCGCCAAAGATCAGCTGGAACCGCTCTGCTCACAGATATTTCCATTTCAAAGGCACCAATTATATCATTATTTAAGATAGTTTATTTAAGTGCCTTTAAATGATTGCTATTTCTTTATTACCATACAAAAGCGAACATACAAGATAAAAGAAAATTCATGTTAAAATGTATGATAGGTACTCATCTGCTTTCATCCATAAATTGAGACATCAAAAACATTATAACACATTAATATACCTTATAAGAAGAGACAAATAGCAAGTTAGAACATGACAGTTGTGGACATGTATGACTTCATACACCAATTATTTCTCATTAAATACTTTTTTTTTCTAGTACTTCCAGGACAATTCATAACCAAATAACATATTTCATAACTGAATTTCTACTCTTTCTGTTTCAAAAATGTAATTACAATGAGCTGGTATTCCAATACAACAAGAAAAATTAATATTTGAAAATATAGATCCCATTCCAATTTTGAGAATGTAGAAAATGTAGTACGTTATGCTATTAGGAAGTGCTCTGATACAGTCTGCACAAAGTAAATGAATAACACACAGGAAATGATCACCTAACACAGAAAGTATACTTTCAAAGTATCAAAGAAAAGTAAGGAATAAATGTGTGCATTATTGCACATTTTAAAGATTTATTGTGTTATTAACCAGATCAAAATCTTTTTTTTCCATGTCCAAGCCACAAACATGTATAAATTCATCATAAACAATAACCCTTTTCAACATGAGAAAAATGTAGTTTACATATGTATTAAATAAGATCTTTAAAAATCAAAAATAAAATATTCCATTTCATTTCTTTGGCAAATTTTTTTGTGTATTTTCCAGTATGTAACTTGGACCCTTAATTGCCATCTGCAAGTAATATTTTGTAAGAAGGTTTCATTAAAAAACATTGCAAAAATATGCATGCAAGAGATTGTTCAAAGGAGATCTGATAATCCTCATATTAGCCATTAATTAATTTCATTATGCTTGTAAGGGATTTTTGTTCACGTGTACTCAAATCACTGAGTGTTCACATCCAGCTAAAGCTGTAAGACTTTTGAGATCAGAAAATCCTTTTTTCACTTGTAAAGTGGATTGCCTTGTTATATTTACAGCATTTTAATTAACCTGAAGTTTAAAAGACACATCTAAGCAAAATCCAAAGAAGCTTTTCTTGCTCAAACTAATACTTCAATTTGTGTCTAGATAGGATTATGGCAATAAACCTGCTATCTGTCGTACAGTATCTGTTTCTACAAAACAATCATAAATAAAATAAGTGCCTGTAAAGTAATAGTAAAGTAATGGCTGACATAGGAATTGCCAAACTCTTTTCAGACTTTCAGCCTAGTGATCAGCCAGATGATGATATTAATGATGCATGCAACAGGTAGAGGACTGACGTTTATTTA